TGAAGGGAATTCTCTCAGGGCAGTGTCTTTATTATAACCATGTTTTCTCTTCCAATTGCAGGGAGATGGCTGGGTTTATCATAAACCCCTGTGGAAAACAGTCTCTGCCGCACAAACTCAGCAAACAGACACTAACTAGAAAAAGAAAAACTGCTTTAAGATGAGTTTTCTGATTTTCCTCTCCTTTTCCTCTGTCTCTCAAAACACAGTAATCACACTGAGTGTCCCCTTTTTATGTAATTGTGCAAGTTTAAATGAGCGTAAAGAAATAACTATACTAGGGCACTTTAAAGCTATTTAAAAAAAAGGTAAAAATCCAAGTTGTAGAGACAAACTTGGCAGGTACATTCAACCACCTTGTTTTTTGTATGACCCAAGAGATTTTATCTGCATTGTGTAAGATTCTTCTAAGTAGATCTGATTGCAAAAGCTGCCTAAGAGAAGAGAGACCTGTTGGATTTTGGAGTGACATAAGAGCTCTTTTGGAATCTGCATCAAGCCCTTTAATAACTGAAACCTTCTCAGTATCCATGTAGACAATAGCAACAAAATATTGCTGCTTTTATGCCCAGTAATTAACCTTCTTGGCGAAAACTGGAGGGGTGTTTGGAAGATGTGCCCGAAATCAGTATTAAGAAACAGCTGGATCATGACGACCTTTTCTTCGGAGAGAACGTGTGCATGCATTGGAGGAACATGGAATATATGTAGAGACTACTTTTCTTTTTTATGGATTTATAAAAGCAATTAGACGTGTAACCATGGAGAAATTTTTCCTCTGAAACGTTTTAATATACTTGAAATAATTGACTTGAATTGGAAAAGTAATTTGAACACTTTTCAACTCTAATTTTATTAAATCTCTTTGAGTGACTGATTTTTCTCAAGTTATAAAGTAATGAGGTTTGGCCTGGTTTTTTTCTCCTCCAACTTCTCTTCCCGAGGACTAAGGCTTTCAAAATGAACAGAAAATGTACAATTTTTGTATTTAAATTTTTCTGCCCATCTAATCATCTCAGAGATGAAGTATCAGTGTTACAAACTGTCCTTTGGATTGTTTTGGTTTTTTTCCTGTGGTGTTGTTCAGAGCAAAGCAGTGAAATGTGACCTTGAATACATGGACTGTAGGTCTTGATTTTTCATCTTACCATAAAAACAAAAAACCAAACAACTGATTATGCTGAGGACTGGGTATTGATTTGAAACACAATCAGATATCAGGAAACTGTATTCAGGTACAAACATCCTTTTTTTTTTTTTAATAACTATTTTATTGAAGTCTAAGAATTGCTGGCAATTAAGAATAGTACTTATTATGGCTTTCGTTATTGTTGTAACTACAAGCTACCTTAATTTTTCCAACAGTGGTGCCTTACTCTGTTTTTTCTTCTGATGTAGTCTTCCAATCAGTGTATATAACATTATCTGCCACTTCCCAGCCATTGCAATGGCTGCACCTGATCCAGCATCGTGAGAACTCACAAGTGTGTGATCTGGTAAGATGTTTTCCATAGAGGAGATGCAAGTGTAAGAATGCATCAGAAGGTTTAAATAACCATGTTAACTTTCAACACAAACTGTAAATCATGCAAAAAAAAAAAAAAAAGGAGTTGGGTTTATGCACAACTGTTTTGATCCTCTTGTACATTTTTTTTTTTGCTGTGAAATGCACTGAGATCTCAATGCGAGTCATAGTCTGTTTGTGAGAAGTGGGGGGGGATAATAAAGCTACAAAATGATTCATTTGTTCTGTCTGCTTTCCTAGAGATCAGGTGACTGGAAAGAGTAGGTTGTTATTATCTTTTACGCTGGAGATCTGTCTGGGCTTTCCTTGGTCCCAAAAGTGGGATATTTTGGCACTGTGTGCTCAAGTAGGAACTATATTCTCCAGCAGAAGAATGTTTTAGGCCCTACTTGTCTTATTTGTGATATTCTTTCCAACCATCCTGTTATGATAGTTTTGGATATCCACTGCGCATTTTCATGTTTAACCAGGAATAAAAGTAAAAATTAAAACAGTGGGATTAGTTCCTCCTTGTTTCTGGATCTGTGGCATATTTGGGGTGCACTCCTAGCCTATTCCAGGATTTGGGGTAGGAATCATAGTGTAACATGAATTTCTTCCATGGTTCGTTGGTACCTGCACCAAACTGGGGGTGGTAGAGAAACAAAATAAATATATGTTTCATAGTTATTTTATCTGTGTCACTTGGCACATTTGATTTAAACAAACAGAAAGGGCTGTGGTGCAAGGTCCAGCTTTTAATATTGCAGTGATCAGAGCAAAAATAAACCTTTTTCAGCTGAGCATACTCCAGGGATCAAACTTGTGCTTACTAAAATAGAGACTTATGACTCAGTCCCTGAGCTCTGCTTAAAATTTTGATTTGGGAACTTGTCAAGGTAATGGCTGTAAATCAGACTGAAAAGCTCCTATGTTGACCATAAACCCATTTGTGTTCCTTATATAACATTATCAGTCAAGTTATTTCTCTTCCTCCCTCATCTGGTATGCTTGTGGTTTCACACTAGGAAAGCTGTTACTAATTTTGTTGTGTAAAAATAGACCCAATGCTGAAGAAGTAGCTTTATAAAACACATGAAATGATTTCTTTTAACATGGAGATGCTGCTAGGAAAAAAGAAGGTAAAACCTTCCTTTGCTCAGATGATCACCAGAACTGGAATGGTTCCTGATGTGGATTTAGTTAGGATGCAGATTTCTACTTCTCAAAACAAAGGACATAGTTGAAAACAGTTAAAAAAAAACCAACTAGCCACCGTACATCCAGCTTAAATTGTAAATGTGATTCTTCTGGGAGTCGCAAGCACCCTGTGGACTAATGGATGTATTTTTAACTCTGACCAGATTTGATTCTCTTGCATAACTGCTGTTGTTTCCATCTTGTACCTTCTGGAGCGCAGGGAAGGGCTCACTGCTGCTTCCTGTGTAGACATTTGCTAGAACCACAGTGTGTTCAACAGGGAGCATGGCAAAATGTAGGACTTTGGCTTATGATCCCTTCTGTCTTTTTGGCCTGATTGGGCTCCACTGAATTTAAGAGCAAAGTTCTGATTGATCTCAGTGGTTTTAGGCTCCCTGAATTGTAAACAGCTCTTGGAGCTTAAATAAGTGGCTTTCTTCAGAGGTGCTGTGCAGCCTGCTGCTCATGGAAAACAGTGTGACAAGTCACTCCTATTTAATGCAGGCATTCAGGCATGTGATCCTGATGGATTTGTGTTTTATGAAAAAAAATGCAATATGCAAATTGGGTTGCTCAAGGTTTTGGGCAAAAGGCAGGAGAACAGATTAAGTTTTCAGTATATTTACAGTGTAAACTATCAAGCCTAGGATGAAGTCTGTCTCCCCAGGAAAATCTGGATTTCAGCCATCAGAATCAGATGCAGCTTTCAAGTGTCTGGTTTGCACAGGCTGGTCCCTCTGTCCCTGTCATCTGTGGGAAACACAGGTCAGAGTGCCTTTTAAAGCCTCTTGAGCCGAACTTGGAAGACCAAGTAAACATATTTATCAGTGTATCCAAACAACTTGGTACAAAACTTGGTACGAAAACTCTGCATGAAATATTATGAGAAGGAAAGATTGGACAGCCTGAGGGGAGTTCGGTGTGTTCCTGTGGTTTTTATATTCATGACAGAAAAGCTGCCCCATAGGCTAGAGCAGTAGTTAAATGTATTAAGGAAATGAGACTGAAGTCAGGTGGGTGGAAAAAGTGTATCTGTGGGGAACTGGGGATGATGTGATTCAAGAGAAAAGGGTTAACTTGAAAAATTGTAAGATGACAGGAGGTAGCAGCCAGGTGAAGATTAGTGAGAATGACAGGTGTGGTCACAGTTGCAGGTGGAGATTTATATGTGGTAGCTAAGCAAATTTTTTGTTATTTAAATTTCATGTAACCTAGTTCATTCCCCTTCTGTCCTTTGAAGGATTTAGGGACAATTTGGTTCTAGGCTTTTAATTTAGGAGCTGTGGAAACAGTCCAAAGAGGTGGAAACAATAGCTAGAGAAGAAAAGCTTTTTGTATGGGTTGGTGCTGTCACAGCATTTTAGTAAACCAAACCAGCCCTGCAGATCTGCTTCCCTGCTCCACACTGGGGAGCCTCGGCTGTAGAAAGCTCGTGGCTGCTGTACAGTTTGCTCCTTTCCCCTCTTTCAGGGCTGATCCATGCAGCTGCATGGTGGCAAGCCAGGAATTCCTCTCCAGTGCTATCCTGAAAGATACACCTCTGTGTAGGTGTCAGGTATGGGTGTGCAGGGCTTAGGATCACTTACGGTTTCTATTCCCTTTTGCTCCCAAGGGTGGAGGAATTTGCACAGTGCCAGAGTTCAGAGCAAGTTATTACTTACCTTTCCTTAATTGCTTTCCAGAATAGAGGCAGCCTGGCTTGGTGTGGTGATTATGGGAATAAAGGTCTGAGTTCTGTCTTATTGAGTTTCCTCAGGGGGGGGTAAATCAGCAGAGGGGTGCGAGAGTTGCAAGAAGAATTAGCCAACACTTTTGTGTTGACACTGTTACTGTAGCACAGATCTGGCTAGAGGAGGCTGGAAACTGGTCTGATGGGGGAAGGAGTTGTCTAGATACCCTGCATGGGGAGATTTTAGTGTGAAGCAACGGTGTCTACACTGGTGACTCACATTTCTATCAAAGAACCTTCACCTGAACTATCAAGGACACTCAGGAATTCACCAGTGAGAAAAGGTGTGTTGGAGTTGCAGCATATCAGGCTTTTGCAGAGTGGATTATTGTGTATCTTTGCACAATATTAAGGACTCTGATCAATGAATAATTTTCTTGTGTGCCAGTGTTTCTTCCATTGAGGGTATATTACATTTCAAGATGTTTTTTTTGCTGCTACAACAGGGGTTTTGTGTGTGTATAGGCCATTAAAAAAGGAAAATTGTCTTGTTCTCTGCAGATTAAGCAGCTGGAAAAGAAACTCATGAGGGCAGTATACAAGGACTTAAAAAAGATAGACATGGAATTCAGGTGCTTATTAATAAAAGATTAAACATTATTATTTTAAAAAATAATAAAAAGAATGCTTTGGCATCATTATACATTTAAAGTAAGTACAAAATCAGTTCATATATAATGTTGCACTGTAACCAAAGTATTGATTCCACAGGTCACTGTATCTGTGGGAGGAAACAGATCTTATAAATAAGTTATGTACTAGATCTTAGTTCCATTTTGAAAAACACAGCGAGGTGATTCTTTTTCCCCTCATGGGCTAAATGCTTCTGCCTCATCCTCTTGTTCCTCATTATGAGGGTTTTTGCCTGCTGTGTCACTGCATATTCGTGCTCCCATCGCTGTCCTGGTGCTCCCCACCTGGAGCAGCTGTTTTGCTGGCCTCGTTGTCCGTGTTGTTGTTGAGGATGTCGTCGCAGTCCATCTGTGCCATCAGGTTGAAGCGCTCGGCCACGCAGTGGGCAGTGAGCCGAGCCTCGGGGTCGTGGTCCCAGCACTCCGTGATGGTGTCGCACAGAAAGCGCATCCCCTGTGGGCAGAAGGGCTCGAATTAGGATCTGAAGGCAGGAGGAAGAGGAGCTGATCTAACAGTGTTTTATTGCGACTTCTGACAGCCTCCTGCATAATGGCTGGTTTTGGCCAAAAGGAAACAGCCTTGGTAAGTTGTGGCAAGTGCTGGTGCTTCCACCATTACTGGCACTGCCTGTGTTAGAGCAGCAGCCTCAGCTCACCCAGGATCTACTCCCAAGCACTTCCCAAGCTCCCTGGAAATCCTTGCTGGAAGTTGGCTTGTGTTGGCTGTGGGACTTAAATAAGGGCTGGAAGGAAACAGGCCCTCCATCTCCTGTCTCAGCCTTGCCCATTGAGAGCATCCTAAAATCAGGAGGGACAGGGGAGGTGCAAATGGTGACCTGCAGGATGGTGGGTAAGCCCAGGCCTCTAGGTTCCAGCCTGTGCCCTGGCTGTTACACCTGGAGGGAGGGTATGGGTGGGGTGAGTTTGGAATTAAATTTCCTAAATCTGACTTCTTGTTTTAGTGGCATTCTGAAAGGGTGCACTGTGCCAAATACTCATTGTGTTAGGCAGCTGAACCTTGTTCTCTCATCACAAAATAGTGTTTTGCTTGAGGTGTGGTTGGGTGCTTCCCAGTGTGCTGCAGAACACATGTAGTTCCTCTCAGTTACAATGCTTATGTCTCCCAGAAATATATTTTTTTTGGTCCAATTGTGTAGTGCTCTGAAAAGAGTCAATATTTTGGGCTTAGAAACAAAATAAATGGTAGTATTGAGCTGGTATTTTTCCCACTCTCAAGTTAGTAACACAGCTAGCACCAGAAGCTGTGTTGAACCTTCCTTTGCCCATGTAATTCCTATCATGTGCTATTGCTTTTGGCATCATTGTCAACTAAGGTTGGAACACAGTGGAAAAATCATTATTCTAAATAAAGCTTCATTTTTTTCAGTGGGTTTTGTGTATTTCTTGATTTGCAATTGAGAGAACCCTGAGGTCGTCATGTGGACCCAGACAGGAGGAAAATGCAAGTCCTACAGATGTGTAGGGTCAGTGTCATCTGTCCTTCTGGACCTTTCTGCTGAGGTCCATTGTCTTCCATAATGGACACAGATTGGATAGAATGGGATTGTGCAGTAAAACTGACAGATGGTGTGTTTCAGTACCTCTGACGTCACTCGTTTATTAGCTTAGTTGAAAGGATTTGAGGATAATTGATTACATGCAAAAATGAGCTAGCTTAGGCAAAGCTTTTAAAGTAAGCCTGTTCTCAAACAGAGCATTGCAATGTCAAATGGTTTAGTCATTAGATTTTCTGTGGTTATTTTACCCTGAAATCAAGACAGTTATTTGTAGTTTGCCTTGTCAGTCGTGATGATGCTCTTTTGAATGGTACAACTGGAGCATCTTGTTTCACTTACAAATGGACTTAGTTTGGCTTTTATATTTGATGTCTGTTTTTCCAAGATTCCAAAGGTTGCTGAGTTGTACAAGTGATTTTTAGTGGCAATATTGACTTAAGCTTCCATTGCTCCTTCCTGTCCTGCACCAGCCCTCCAGTTGTGGCCAGTACATCCGTCTTTTCAGCTGCTTCGTGAACCAGATCCAGGAATTCACCTGGCCTAAATAACTTTTTTCTTTTTTTTTTTCTTTCTTTTTTTTTTTAATGTGTTGGGGTGTGAAACAAGGTAGAAGCATGGGTGTGAGGCATTAGTGAGTTATCTGGGAAACTTTGGGATAAATCTCTTCAGCTGTCTTTGTTGTGCAGACTTGCAAACAGTTGCCCTGGAGCTGCTGCTGGGTGACTCAGCCCTGTCAGGGAAGTTAATGCTGACTCTTGCTAAAAATCCAACCATGGCCAGACACATAGGTCCTCGCTTGACTGAGAGCAATCCTGATGCTCTCAGGAGTACCATGGAAGTACCATCTGGAGCTCTGCAGCAAACTTATTTTCATTGTTAGGAACATCTGAAGGTGCTGCCCATTCAGGTGAGTGACTTGTCACAGTTTCTTGGTGTCACCCAGTGCCTTCTCCCACAGGAAGCCAGCGCTGACCCCAGGAGTGGCACAAACCGGTGGCTTTCTGCAGCTTCCCAGCAGATGGTGCTGCCCAGTTCCTCATCCTGGGGAGAACGGCTGCAAAATGCCCGGAAAATGCTGTAAAGCCAGGCTTGAAAGGAGATGTTTATTAGATTAGCCAAGATTAGTCAGGGGCAAACTTTCAGGAACACAACATAGCTTTTCTGTTCCTCTTCCCCAGTGACCATCAGCTGATCTAATAAAAGTTCCCTCCTTAAAAGCCTTGCTCTGTTTGTGTGCTGAACCAACCCAACTACAGCAATGTTGTTTCTGGGAGGTGACTGCAGTCAGCCTCCCCTCAGCCCAGGGAACAGCACAGTTATGGTCAGGCTCTATCAGAGTGTGATTTTTCACAACCCAAGCCTCTGTATATTTTTTCTGTGGTTTCAAAGTTTATCAGAGACCCTAGGAGGTGAATGTCTGAGATGAATACTCAAAGGCTTCAAATATGTGGCAGTGCTGATTTGAAGTTCCTGTATTTGCCTTCATTGGGAAAGAGGCTGGGTGAACTTCTGACATGGACTGGCTGGCTGATAAACTCCCTGGGGGTGCAGCAGAAACCACGGATTCATTTGATGCTGTTTGCAGCTTTGGTCAGTCAGGTCAGTTGTGAGTCTTTGGACAAACATGGTTTTGAGAGGAGACACTGTAGGGAACACGTGGCCTCCTGAGGTCAAGAAACTGTATCTTTCCCTTTGAAAAGTCTGCCTCTGAGTGCCACCTGGGCAGAGCAAAGGCAGTGGCAGTGTGTTTTATGGGTGGACATGGCAAAATGATGCACTGAACACTGCAAGGCTCTGAAAGCCAGCAGGCTTGATGTTTCAGCTTGTTTGTTAGGTGAATGGGATTTTTGATCAGCAGATGGTGTTTTTCACAAGATGTTAATGTCATGGGCCAGTGTGCCTGTTACCCCTCATGTCCTTGGTGAGTGGAAGAAGGCACTGGCCCTGGGACAGAGGATCCTGTCAGGGCCAGGGGGGAATTGTGTTTCTGTAGCTGTTTGGTCTGGGTGTACTTGTGGATGGTTTTAACAGAGCACATCTCATCACAGCTGAAGTGATGGTGTTCTAGAGCACTGGGTTATGCTTTCTGTGCTGACACACTTTGCTTTCAGACCCTCTGAAGGCTGGTCAAAGACTTCCCTTGGCAAAACCTGAGCCTAGCAGGGTCCCTGCTCTCAGCTTAATGTGTGTTCCCTGGGTGTTTCACATGTAGGAGATTCTTCCTGGTTTGCTTTCCTTGTAGAAATGGAAATCTTTCTCTCATGTTAGAGGTGATTTTGAGCTTGAAACCTCCACAACCAAGCAGACAGAAGGCTGGATGCACTTCCTTTCCCCCCTGTAACTGCTGTGAATGGCTGTGTGCCAGGGACCGCGTGTTTCGTGAGCTAGAGCCTTCTGGATAAGGTGTTTAGGGGAGAAGTGGGGTGGACTCAGATGAATTACTGTTTTGTGAGAAGAGCCTGCACTGAAGTGCTCCATTTTACTGTTATCCTCAAGGTAACTGGAACCCATCTCCTGGCATTCAAAATGCTTCCTAATCATGGCTATTGATCAACAAATTTTGCTGTACCTCTGGCTGGTGGCTTTTATACACCAGGGAAATGGGTCTAGTGGGGTTTGTGTGGGCCCAGCCAGCCACAATGGAGCTGAAAGTAGAGCCGAGGAGTTCTGCCCACTTTTCCTTTGATTATAACTTTAACAATTTTTCAGGTTGGTTTGGTCAAGTGGGACAACAGGGGTTGCTCTTTCCTTGTTGCTCCCAGCTTACCTGATGCACCAGCCAGCTGCTTGGGATCTCGGGTCGGCCTCTGCCATGCAGCACAATGTCCCTCATGGTGTCCACACAGGGCTGCTCCTGGACTTTCGACCCAAAAGGCAGCTCATAATTCTTTACCTCTGCAAGGAAGCAAAAGCAGCATTACAGGATGTTTTTAGTGCATTCCTTGCTTTGTTTTGGTATGGTCCACCGGATAAGAATACACTTGTTTTTTGCAATCTGCAAAAATAAACAGATCTGGAAAAAAATGAGAATTTGAACACAGAAACAAAGTGCTGGGTTTTCACATAAAGGTTGTTTTCAGAGACTGCACCGAGGAACCATCTGACCACCCCCCTGAACCCAAGAGATGCACTACAAAGGACCTGGTTTGTCTTTAGGTGAGACATATTTTGAGCAGGTAAAAAGTGTTGTGCTGGTGAAAGATGGGAGGGGTGACTACAATACCAGCATTTAGATTCCTGCTGCAGGCATGGATTGGCTTAGAGGAGAAATGGCCCTTACAGAAAGCAACCCTGTGTTGTGGGAGGCCAAGGAGAAACTGCCTGTTGCAGAGGTGAGAGGCCACCCTGGTTTCTGCTAGCTCCTCCCTGGATATGAATGCAAGTGAGAGATGAGTGAGGAGGAATGGCTAGGATGCTGGCTTGGGAACAAAGGATGCACAGGCCATCTGAGCCAGGCAAGGGCCCCCCACTATTGGGCATGGGGCATGCAGGGCAGCTGGGGCAGCTTTCTTGCCAAGGATTGGAGATTCTTGCAGCTTGGTGGGTTTGTATTGCAAGTAGGTGGGATATGGAAGGAAGGGAATGAGTGGAGCAGGCAGAAGGCAGGTAGGGGCCAACACCAGGGAAGTTAATGAACTGTTTTGCTACACTCAATTTCAGTTGCCAGGATGCAGCTCTGGGAAGTGCCTGAGTCTAGGGTTTGTGGGTCCCCATTGCAACCTAAACTTTCTAGTGTTGTCTGAAGAAAAAAATGGTTGAGGAGGTGGAGGCACATTTGGCTCTTCCTGCTTGGTTTGGTTTGCATCACTGGCACAGGCTTGGGTGTGACACAGTGGCTGGGTGGCTTTGAGCAGGGCCTGGAGCAGGTAACCCCTGGGAACCTGTCCTGCTCCTTGACCACTGAGCCACTCCCTTGAGCCACAGCACACAGAGCAGGCAGCCAGGTGGCAGGGATCTGCCACCAGCTCTCGGCACCCCTGCAGGGACCTGAGCCACGCCAAATCAGGTCCTGTGCCATCAGTGGGGATGTGGGAGTAAGGAAGCAAAAAGGCGCATGGCAACCACAGTGCAATGCTCCTACCTCCTACCACTTCACATCTGGAGGCCATTTCCCACAAAACAAGGGCCATAGAGTAGACATCCATCTGCTTGAAAGACTCCAGGTCTTCCAGGTTCACCCTGGACTCCAGGACCTCTGGGGCCATGTACCTGGCAGTGCCTACCTGCCCACAAAGAAGAGAGAGACATTAGCAGGGTGGACGAGGACCGTGGCCACATGACAACCAGAGGTGGCTTGCAAAGGGTTCTCCGGAGAGGGTTTGTGGGCCATACTTGCCTGCCCGCTGTTGGCAAAGTCGTCCACTGTGAGGGAAGGGTCGAGGCGTATGGCGATGCCGAAGTCGCAGAGCACACACTCCTGCTCGTTCTTCACCAGGACATTTGTGCTCTTGATGTCCCGGTCCAGCTCAGGACGTGGCGGGACAGGTAGTCCTTGAGGTTGCCCCGGCTGTGGTAGGCGGTGATGAGCCAGTACTCCCGGCGGGGCCCTGTGCCCCGGTCCTCGGCAGTGAGGAACTGCAGGACGCTGTCGTGCTTGAGGCTGGTGTCGGTGAAGATCTGGCTCTCGTTCTTCCAGGAGGAGTACTCCTCGCAGGGGAAGATCTTCACGGCCACCGTCTCGTACTGCCCCGAGCGGCTGTGGCTCAGCTTGGCCCTCCACACCTCCGCGAACTGCCCTTTGCCCACCATCTCGTCCAGCTCGATGGGGAGCAGCTCCGTGGGGCGGCTGCTGGTGCAGCTGGGGCTGGCGCCGGCCGGGCTCTCATCCATCAGCACGGACAACTTCTCCTCCCGCTCCGTCGCCCTCCCTGGCTCCGGCAGCGCCGGGGGCTGTCCCGGTTTCCCACCCCACGCCTTGGCTCTCTTGCGCCGCTTCTGCGTGCGGCAGAGGTAAAATATCACCGTGATCATCACCGCCACCAGCAGCGGGGGCAGGAGGCTGATGGCAGCCACCGGGATCACCTCTTTGCTCTGCAGCATGGAGTAGCCTGGGGGGAGGAAAGCAAAGGCGAGGTGCTGCTGCTGCCGCGGGTCTGCAACAGCTCGTTTTCATCACGCAGAGGAGGAAAATATGCGAAGCTGTTAATGAAGCGCAGCCCTTTGCGGGGCCGCACAAACCCATCTCAGCACAGAACCCAGATGTAGGCAGTTAGTGAGGGGAATGCTTAGTTTTGGTCTCAAATTTAGCTCAATTTATCAACAGAGGGTCCGGGATGCAGGCCAGCATCGCTTGGGTTGGGCAGTGCAGCACATGGGATCCTGCTGCTGCCACCTAAGTGGCTCTGCTGCCTTTTGGGGGTCCCAGGCACCACTTGCACTCACGGCATGGGGAGCTGGGGTGGAAATAACAGTGATAAATCCAAGGCAAGCCTCGAACAGCAAATCTCTGAGGGGGTTTGGGGCTGGAGCTTTGCTGGACCTCTGTGACACACGGAGAGCCAGAAGGGATGCTGGGGGTGGGCAGGACCACCCGGCCCAGGACAGCACTGTGATGCTTTGCAGGATAATTAGAGTAAAGGAGCATCTCTTCAATGCTGTCTGCCAGTGTTGGCATCTCCTTCCTCACTCTGTCACAACCCTAACCCCATCATCTGCCAGGGCATGGCTGCTTTTGTTTTATTTCTTTTAAAACCCTTTCATGGGGTGGTGGGGGGTGACATGCACACAAAGCCATAACCCTCACACAACATATAATTGTCTGATCCTTTGATGTTCACAATTCCTGGAATAAGCATGCTGACTTCAGTAGAGATATTCAAGTAAAATCTTACTCAGAGGTTTTTCTGCCAAGTATAATAACCCAGGGGAAGAGGGATAAGAATCATTCCATAAGCAAAACTCTCGCTGCTTGACCTCAGTGTGTGCAGATCATAATTCAGGTTCTGGAAAAACAGAGCGTTTAGCTATTTTCCTTGGCAAATTTCAAAAAATTGTGCTGCAGCTAATTTCTGCAAGGCTGTGAAAGCGTTTCTAAAATAGGCATCAGGTTTAAACCACAAGATCAACCTAAACTGATATAAATCAATAACTAACTCGGGAATATGTTTATTTTGGAAAGCGTTAGGCCTGGATATCACCTACTGCTTTAATGGATTTACCCGATGCTTCAGATCCCATCTTTGAAACTCTGAAGAAAGAGTTTAAGGGAGCTGCATGCACAAGTCCTGAAAAGGGGACGTTAATACAACTTCAGGAAATTCCTTCATGAGGATGCCCCATCCTGATGGAAGTCTTTTGATACACAGGGGTTGCAGCAGGGCTTAGACCTCTTCTACAGCAAGCAAATGTAGCTGCTCTGGCAATAACCACAGGTCTGTAAACTCACACCTTGTTGAGCATCTCTCCCGGGGTCTTTTCATCTCTGCTGAGGGGAGATGGAGCTCCAGGGCCAGGCTCAGCTGGAGCAGAGGTGGAAAGGACTTTGCATACTCCACCCTGCCCAGCACCTCCCCAGGGTGTCCGCTGGGCTCCTGCATGTGCAACTTTAGAAAATGGTGCCTCTGTGTATTCATTAGGGTGGTCTCTGAGGCCTGATGGAGTCCCCTGCAGCCTCAGTGTGAGGGCAGTGCCACCCAGCAGCCCAGGCCTGAAAGCAGGGCTTAAGGAATCGAGAAATAGAGAAAAACCTGCCTACTTCAGCTGCCCAAAAAGTGCTTGTCTCTATTAGATATTACTCTGCTCGGGTGTTGTCTATACCATTGAATATGATCAGAAGTTAATATTTAAAATGCAAATGATTCCTTAAAGCAGGAGAAAAGGATGTAAAGAATGGGGTCTGTGAGGCTGGGGCTTGCAAAGCTGGCCCCATGACCCAAAACAAAGAGGAGAGAATTGTTTAAGACCTGCACTGCTCCCTCTACGACTTTCAGCACTTTTTTATGCTAGCTGGCAGGAGAAGGCTGGTTATGGAGCCTTTGCTGGGGGTGGCATTTCCAATGAGCCAGTTGTCATTTTGTGTGAAATTACATATCCTAGCTTTGGGATTTGACTATCTCTCCCTAGAAGTGTGTGTACCTGTTATGTTTGGCTGGGGAAGCAGCAAAGAACTGTCAAATTTAGCATCATTTGCCTCCATTGAAAGTGGCTTGTTTGTTCAGAGAATTTGCATTTTATGTGATGTTTTTCTTTTTTCCTTGTGTTGCAGGGAAGCTATGCTGCTGGCTTGCAGGTTCTGCTGAGGCTCATTTTCAGCATCTCCTTGTTCTGTGATAATGGAAAATTGGAGGAGTTTCGCTTTGCTTTTGTTACAGGTCAGATTCTTGATGGACACTTGGGATAAACCTGGTTCATTTGGACTTAGGGAGGTTTGGACAAGCCCCCAAAGGCTCAGGATCTGGTTGGAAGCATTTCCAAAGTATATGACCCTCCTGAGGTACAGAAATGGGCTGCCTCTTAGTTTTCCCTCCTGTGGATTTACAGCTCCTGTTGAATCTCCAGCCATCTGCAGAAGCATCCACAGGCGTGCCAAGCCACACTAACATGTGTATGCAGCTCCAGCTGTCCCTGCCCAAGAGAAACTCCACTGCAGGGATCCCCAGGAGAGCAGCAGGGGAGGCACCACCATGTGCCAAGCCCTGTGCCCCGGCACCTCCACCTTTTGGGGTTGCAGCCACGGTGGATGCCAGCAGTTCCCGTGGGGGTGTTCTGGGGCAAGATTTGCTCCAACATGATTTATTTAAAGCTTTCAGAGCATTGACTCACACTGGGTTACATCAGCCCTTGGGTTCCCCAGTTGATTCACCCTGTGCTGAAGGGCACAGCCCACCAAGAGATACAGTGGATTTTCCATCACCTAATGTTTCCAGACAAAGGCTGGAGGTATTGCATGGAAGGATGCTTTGGCTACAGGCAAAAAGCTAGGCTCACTAATGGGGTACAGATTTTAACTGGCTTTTATACAGGGAGCTCAAAGAAGGTGCTGAAAGAGCCCCTTGTGCCATTGCATCTCCCACTCTGCTGGAAATACAAGTGATTCCTCATTGGCACTGGGTGCTGCTCCCCCCGTAAATATCACGAACGAAAGCACTCACCGTTGGTGTGGTTTTCAAAGATGAGTTTGTCGTTGCACTCCTGCTCATCCACGCAGCCGCAGATGTACATGACCCCGTCCTCGCTGGGCTGGGGGGCCATGATGCAGCGAGAGGTGTTGTAGTTGGGGACCATGAGGTTCTCGATGGGGCGGTGGGGGTTGTGGCAGAGTGTGCTGATCCTGATGCTCTCATTGTCCTGTCTCCTGCGTGTTACAAATGAACCGACACAGTCTGGCAGTTCAGCCTTTGTGTCACCTGCCTGTCACCTTAAACCTGGTTCTGAGATAATTTGTTTTAAGCTGCATAGGGAATGACTTGTTTGCAGCAGTTCTGGTGTAATTCTAATTACACATGCTTTTGGACGGCTTGTGCTAAAGCCATTTGTCTCTTTGCTGAAAAGAGAAACGTTTGGCACACACGAATAGTAGGATGAGAGCCAGAGACTCTGATTGTTTCCAGTAGATAATTCACCAGTTCATAATTGCATCTTGGATCAGGTAGGGCCAATGCTAAGCATGAGTGCCCTGTGCATTTTTTGGGGCAAAACTCCCCTTTTACTAACACCAGCTGCTAGACCAGCAGGTTTTGGGGCTGTACAGTCCTAAGGAAACTCACCAAAATGAGGGTCCCACAGGACCATCATACATGACTTTGTACGTCACCTCTGCCGCAATACAAGTCACAACACCTGTGCCTCAGCAGAGGCTGGGGGTCTCTGCTGCCCAAATTTCTCCTGTGCAGTGGAGAGGTGTGGGCTGGTATTAGTAAAAGGGGAATTGTGCCACAGATAATACACAGGACATCTCTTCCATTGGAGCCTTCCCCAGAGGAGGCAGAGTAACATAGCACTTTTCATGTTTCCAAGGCAGTGATGGGGAATGACTAGCCCTGCATGGGCTATGGGTGGCTGGAGAGCAGTGCAGCTACTCTTGGGGGAGTTCAAAGGAAATCACAACCATTAATTACTTTTTCAGGGATAGCTTCTGCTTTCTGACTTGCCCATGCAAAGTGAGAGGGTGAAGGTATGGAGAGGTTTCACAATGTCTCTGATGTCAGCTGGGAAGTCATATATAAAAGCCAGGGAAAGAACCTAAATTTGTCACTCTCTCCCTGATGAAGTCCACTGATTTCAGTGCTCCCCATGTTTTCTTGGAGCTACCAGGTAATTTGACAGAGGAACTTCCAGCAGAAGAGCCCTAGGAGGGTGCTCTTGCAGCTGAAGAGCCCTAGTCCTTCTCTATGGACTGCCAAGTTTGGGCACCTGGAGGATGTGAGCACAGTGCTCAAGAGCATGGAGGCAAAGCTGCTGCTGTGACTGCAATCCCTACACAGGACAAGTTCAGATGATCCAAATATGCCTCTGCAAGTGAGCAAGGAGCAGCAAGGCTGGCTTGGAGGTGAGTCCTGTCTGCAGGGATCTTATTCTATGGGTGGACCTTAGAAAGGGATTGGAGACACTGGGAGGGGTAGGCAGGATATTTGTGACTCTGTAGCTGCCTCACTCCATCTGATATATGATGCAGGGTGCAGTTCTACCCAATGCAGTGGGGCTGCTTTCCTGGTGTGGGGATTCATGCTGCTTTTTCCTGTGGGCTGTCCATGGGAAAACCCATGGAGATGTTGGATTGCCTACCCAGGATTTAAGGTGGCTGCTCCATGTGTGTAGGGGAATTTGAGGCAGGGGGTGGATTTTGTTGTTTGTTTGTTTGGGTTTCTTGTTGTGTTTTGCTTTTTTAAAAGTCCATAATGCAACAATTATCTTGAGGCAAACTCCTACTGAAAGCTGGCGTTCAGCATTCACGCTAATTAGCAGGTTGAGATAAAGCCTAGCGATAAGTGCTTGGCTGGCTTTCACTTTGGCAGCCAAATTAAAAGGGAAAGAAGAGGAAAATCACTCTGGGCAGACCCAAAATGGGTGTTTTTTTAGTTTTGCTCATGAGGACCAGAAAGCTGAGGGAGGCACTCTTCCGGGCCAAACCATGCAGTGCGTGCTCGGCCTGAAATGCAAGATTGCGTTTCCTTTCCAGGCACCTCCCGCAGGAGCAGAAAAGGGTTTTTTCAGGGGATAGGAAGGAGGTGGGTTAAACCCAATGTGTTAAACTCCAGTTTGGTGTCAGCTCAGATATCCATGTGCTGGATGGGGACAGACCTCAGCTGCACCCCTGCATGTGAACCAAGGTTTTACCAGCCTGATGCAGGAGGACATCATAGACTTGGAGGTCAGAGTTGCTGGTTTGCCCTTGGGTTCAGCTCATAAAGCTCAATTCAGAGGTTTACGGGGCTTTAGAGATCCCACAGCAAACTTACCACTCTTTGTGTCGGGTACTTAAATGCTTAATTTATTTAGAAAATAAACTGGTACTAATTATAGGGCAGACCAAATAGTTTTTTTACAGTGAATTGTAACTTTAATTATAGTGGAGTCACAGAAAGAGGAAGAGAAAGTCCTGAATTAGTTCAGTGGGCAATAATCCAAGCACAGGGGCACATGCATGTGCATTTCCATGAGCTCCCACCCAGCAAACCCCTTCTTCCCCCACATCTCCCCTTGACAATGGGCATTTCCTCTCACCATATGGCCACACAGATCTCGTAGGGGTCCTCACAGTAGGAGTTGAGGTTGCAGTTGCTGTAGCACACCTTCTCCTCGCAGGCAGGAGACGTGGAGTCGCACCACTTGCACAGGTTGGTCTTCAGGCTGCGGCGAGCGCTGGCACTGCAGGCTGCAGGGGCAGAGAGGGGGCAGAGGGTGAGTGGGGCCGTGCTGGCCCAGAGTGGGGCACTTTCAGTAATTCACACAAACAGTGGAGAAGCAGTCTGAACTGACCCTATTTCTCCGTGCACTTTTTTTAAGCTTTCATTTTAGAATCACAGAATAGAATCAATCGGGTTGGAAAAGACCTCCAAGATCATCAAGTCCAACCCCTGACCCAACATCACTGTGGTTACTAGACCATGGCCCTAAGTGCCACATCCAGTCTCATCTTAAAACCTCCAGGGACAGTGAATCCCCCACCTCCCTGGGCAGCCCATTCCAATGTCTGATTACTCTCTCCATGAAAAATGTCTTCCTAATATCCAATCTATTTTGGTTGGAGCAATTTTGCTCCACTGCTCAGTCAAATGTGTTCTGTATTACGCCAAAGCCTAGAGGAGATGGGGGGATGCTGTTGGTGCAGAGGCAGGTCCCACTGAACAGGAGCTTTGCAGAGCCTGGGAAGCCGCAGAGAGCGGCATTTTCCCTCTGCTTTTCCTGTACCCTTTATCATCAAGGGGAAATTTACTTCTTCCTCTACAACCTAGGCTCAGATTGGCATTTCCCCTCATCCTGAGCACATGCAGTGTTCAAAAAGGGACATCCCCAGCTCTCTGCATGCCTGAAGACTTCATTTATTCCCCTCCCAGCAGGAGGAGAGGTGCTGGGGAGGGAGGCATGGCCAGTCTGGGATAGCTCCCTTCTCTCCTGCTGTCTCCTCGTCCTCCCTCTGCCTGTTCAATGAGCCCAAGCTGGGAGGTGTGTTTGCCACCTGAGAAGCATGTTTGCCACCCTGAGCATCTGTGTTTTTGCAAGAAATGATGGGCTGAGACTTTCCAAGCTCTGGGGCAACAGGAGCTGCTCCCTCTAGGGCTCCACTGCCCGCTCTGCCCTATCCCAGCATCAGATGCTCTCCTGTCCCTAGAGCCATGGATCTGCTGCAGCAGTAGGAATAACTGCTGCCTGTGGGGAGCTGCTCTGCCTGTATCTCACAGGCATAACATTATCTCTATTTTTATAGAAAGGGCGCATGAACCATGCTTGGTTAAGGGATAAATCCCAGCTAAATTTAAACTTCCTGTTTTAAGGCTGCTAGATGTCCTTAAAAAAAAAAAAAAGCAAAACAAGCCACTAAGTGGCTTATGTAGAAATGTATATTTATACTTTTTTTACTTAAATATATACACTCCAAATTGTTCAGGTATGAACCTGAACTACAGCAGCTAATTTTTTGAAGGTTTGGGCCATCCATGGGGGCGTGTTTCTCTGGCTGCCATGTCCCCAGTGCACCCAGCACTGCTGGGTGCTCCCAGCCCCTATGGAAAAGCCAGTCCTGGCTCACTGTACTGCAACAGCCATCACAGGGTTTTCCATCACCAGCTGTTAGTATGAAGAAGAAACAAATTGCAAAATCCCTGACTGTGGCTTGCCAAGCCTCAGCCCTTGCAAGCAGGGCCCTGTTGATCCAGGAACACACCCACAAGCACCCCCAGGTCTGTGAGCAACCTGCAGGACCTCCTGTGTCCTTGGTAGTCACATCTGTCACCTGTCTGTGGTCCAGGGCCAAGCCTAAGGACCCTCTTTAATATTGTCTCAATAGCAAAAAGGGGTTTCTAACAACTCTTCTCCCCAAATCCAGAGCGCACAGTCTGCTCTGACAGCATCTCATGTGCCTGCTCTGCTTCCCTCAATGGCCCAGACCCCCCTCCCTGCGACCCTCATAAAGAGCTGCTGGAAGGCTCCCACACAGAAATAAACCATTTACAAGCTCCTGTGGCCTCGTACGTAGGGCCAAGGTTAATGGCAGAGGGGAAACCTGGCTGTAGCGGAAAAGCCTGTTACATCTAAAGGCTGGAAGGAGGAAATTTTGGTTTAAGTGACCCATGCCAGGCTTAAAGTGCAGCTCAGCAGGGTTTGTGTTGTGCCAGGTGGTAGGGGAGCTGAGAGCAGAGTGGGTGAAGATATTGCCCACAACCTCTTGTTCAGCACCCCCTATCCAGGGGGCTTCTCTGGCCCTGCTGAAGTGCCTTGTGATTTTGTGGGTGATCTCAACAGATCCAATGCCCCGCATCCATCCAAGGGTTAGCTACCAAAACCATGGCTTCGGCTGGGATTTGAAGCACTTGCAGCCAGCATGAACTGCCCTCAACTGCCCACTTCACTCTGCCAGGGCAAAGTCTGCAGAATCCCAGGCAAAACTCCTCTGGAGGATGAGAGTTTTGGAGGTGGGATAGAAATCAAGCCCAAGCATTTGTGTGCAGCTCTCAACCTACAGCGGCAGCCACTACGCCCTACAAACTCTGTTGGTGTTTCTACATGGGAACAAGGAACTGAAGGTAAATTGGTTTCCCCTTCCCAAACCCAAGTCCTGTCACAGCCAGGTCTATGCTCTACTGGTGCTGCTGCCTTAGTTCTTCTTTCACCCCTTCAGCTCAACCCATCCATGCCACGGCTCGTGCTGTGCTTGCAGCAGGCTTGTGCAGGACTGTGGGCTCAGCACCATCACCCAGGGATAACTGGGGGCCCTGCAGAGGAGCAGCAAAAGGACAAATCCAGATTGTGGAAGCTGCTGGTACAGGATGAGGTTTGTTATTTATGTATTTATACCTACCAGATACGTTATTTACTTATTTATGTCAAGGGTTTACTCGAGATCTCAGAGCAAAACGCCAATATTGTACTGCTGTGTCTGGTGGCGATCTGGACTTGGCAGCTGCCTGCACTGTGCAGCAGAGAAACCAGGGCAGATGAAAGAGTTAAATATGGAAATGAGATCCAGAAATATAGTGGTAACCGGACAAAATTCTTTGGAGACAAATTGTTCTAAACTAGCTCAGGCTGTGATTCTGTTATCTGCTCTGCAAGAAAGGTCAGAGCAGGAATATCTCTTTTTTTCTTGCCCTCCCCTTCATTCTTCTCCTAGGAAGTTAAAAGAAGAGCACAAAGCCCACTACAAGCTTCTTCAGGACTTTGTGTCCTTGAACCATTAGCTCGTAGGTACAATTTAACTGCCACATCACTCATCTTGGCCCTGATTAGACCCAGATGAACACTTTCAATATTAATAGTCAGATGATTTAATAAAGCTGCACGAGCAGTAAAAGTAACAATACACTTCCATAAACGGGTTCCAGATGTTGCCAAGGCAAATGCTAAACATCAAAATACAAACTTCAAGAAAAAAAAAGCTAAAAAAAAAAAAATCTGGATAAGCAAAACTTGGAACAAACTATAAACTAATTAAATGTGGGTTGAGTTTTCCAAAAATAAATTGAAGCCATAAGGATGTGATGTGAGCCAATAAATAGTACAGTTAGTCAAAGTTACTGTGGAACAACAGTTGGAAAGATGGTTTGAAGTCACCGATAGGTGGGCTCACAGCGAGCTTGGCTTACCATCAATAGGAAGGCTTGTTCTCCTGTGCATGACAGCGGGATCAAATCTTCTGGTATCTATAACTGGGACCCCAGAGAGGTTACTGAGAGCATATGAGATGATTTTCAAGTCAAGAAATAAAGAAAAAATGACGCCAGAAGTGCCTGTGTCTCTCTGGCAAGAGCAGTGGGGGTGATACCACCACCCAAGGACACCAGGATATTTTTTCATGCGTGTCGGGGAAGCTCTCCCGCCTCTCATTGCCCACACTCTCTACTTGGCCACCTGCAAAGCCCATTGAAGCACCACTGCTGCAGTCAATAACCCATCATCTTTCCCCATAAAAGAGTCATTGAAAACAGCTCTCCAAGGGAATTTCATACCGGTCCCATACTGCAGCCACAGAGGTAGTCAGCCCCCAACAGATGAGCTCTTTGCTCATTTGCCAGGGGCTCAGCTGCTCTTACTGCAGCTGTAACAGTATAGCAGGGGGCTTTTGTGAGCCCCTCTCTACCAGTGCATTCTCAGAGAGCAGGTAGGTCATCCACCACCCAACTCTGGCTCCAGCTTTCTGCACACTGCAGTCCCCACAGAGAGGAAATCACTAAGGAGCAAGCCTGGGGTGCATGGAGGTGCAGGCACAGTGCATTTGTTATAGCACAGGAGAAAGTGCTCTGTAGCCCAAGCAACGGCATGTGCAGGCAATGAACACTTTCAATTCTCACGTATTCTCCCTGACATGCTTTTTCAGAACACCTAAACACTATACAGGCTTAAGGAAAGGTGCTTGGTGTGAGATCCCCAGCTTTCCCCTTCCCAAGGTGGAAGGGGACTAAGGCCTCTGCCACCCAGGACCTCCATTATACAACTTTCAGATTATGCTCTGTCTTGCCATGATAATTACCCTTACATTGCTTGTATTTCTCAATGACAAAGAAAAATTGATAATTTTCAAGTCATAAATGCTCTACATAGCCCCTCTTTCATGTGTATCTCCAAGTACCCCGGAGTGGGGCTGACACTAATTCAGCAGTCACAGAGGGCTGCCCAGCTTGCTGTTACTGTGGTGGCTCCGGGAGCTCTCTGCATTATGTTTTCCATGCAGGTCAGTTAACCTGTAATCCCCAGGTTTTGCACGTGGAGAGACTAAGGCAACAGAGATTAGTTGAGGTGATCTGCAGCTTTCTCTAACCAGCAACACATGAAAATGCAGGACTAGGGAGCACTTCCACCTCGACCTTGCAGACATATTGTTCCTGGAAACACCTGAGTAGGTGTCCTGATGGAAATCCAGCCTGTGCTGGGACCTGCTTTCCCACCTTGGTGAGCCTGGGATCAGTGGCGAGTCCTTTGTCTGCCGGCAAGTTTAGGATTAGGCTTTACCTTGGGCTTTCATCCACGGGTAATGACACAACTACACAATAACAGAGCCTCTCATAAAATTATTATGAGAACAAACAAATTCCTTCCCTTTTATAAATGCAGTATTTTGTTTTTAATACTAAACCAACAGCAGAGCTGATGGGCTCTGCTCTCTCGCTGACCCATGTTAGAGCACCAGGTCCTTGGTGTTCTCCATCAGCACGTTATTCC